AACAATGAGAACACATGGACACAGGGAGAGGAGCATCACACACTGGGGTCTGTTGGGGGAGGCCAAGGGTGGGACAGTGGGCAGATGGGGAGGTTGGGAAGGGATAACATGGGGAGAAATCCCAGATGCAGGTGACGGGGGGATGGAGGCAGCAAACCACATTGCCATGTGTGTACCTATGCAATAATCCTGCCTGATCTGCACATGTACCCCAGAACCTATAGTACAATTAAAAAGAAAAAAAGAAGAACTTACATAAAAAAAAAAAAGTTTAGGTTTCCACAGTGATTTTGAGCTGAAGGTTAGGCAAAAGAAGAATGAAACAGAGTAAGTGCCACTCCAAGTCCTGGCTTGAGCTGAATATATTAAGGTTTTGAGTTGTTTTTAAAGAATTTCTTTCTTTCTTTCTTTCTTTCTTTCTTTCTTTCTTTCTTTCTTTCTTTCTTTCTTTCTGGCTATAAACGCCATACATTTTACTGTAGAAAATTTAGAAAATAAGAGGGAAAGTCCAAAGAAGAAAATTGTCATAATTCTACCAATCAAAAATGACTTGTTACAAAACCGTCAGTGTTTTCTGAGCGTCTCTCTCTGCATCATGAGAATCACACGTTTCATACCTTGCTTCACTTCATGTAATGACATGAGATCATTTGCTAAGGTGACTTCATCTTCAACCTTGCTGGCTTGTGTTTTTCTGAGTCACTGTTCTCCACCAGCTCTGTTCTTGGGCATTTCGTTTCTTTCCACTTTTTCCACTGCAGTGAGCATCCTTGTGGAGGAGTCCATCTCTGTGCAATTTTTAGGATCACATCTTGGAGACGAAAAGGTGAAATAAAATGTTGTAAACAGTTTTAGGAATGTGGATATATAGTAGCAAATTGCTCTCATAACAGTTGTTCAAAGTAAGTCATTCTTGTGCATATCACCTCCCATAGATGCCTCTATTTCCCTCTGGGTATTATAAATTCAGTGATTATTCTTGACATCTCATTATGTTTCTATTTTATCTACATATTTACATTTCTTTTGCTATCAGTAAATTGAACTTTTTAATGTGTTTATTAATCATTTGTGTGTGTGTGTGTGTGTGTGTGTGTGTGTGTGCGTGTGTTTGAGAAATGCCACTTTATTTCTCTTGCCATTTTTCTGTTTAAGATGTTTTTCAGCTGGGCATGGTGGCTCACACCTGTAATTCCAGCACTTCAGGAGGCCAAGTCAGGTGGATCATCTGAGGTGGGGAGTTCGAGACCAGCCTGACCAGCATAGAGAAACCCCGTCTCTAGTAAAAATACAAAATAGCTGGTCATGGCTGGCACATGCCTGTAATCCCAGCTAGTTGGGAGGCTGAGGCAGAAGAATCATTTGAACCCAGGAGGCAGAGGTTGCAGTGAGCTGACATCGCACCATTGCACTCCAGCCTGGGCAACAACAGCGAAACTCTGTCTTAAAAAAAAAAAAAAAAAAAAAAAAAGATATTTTTTAGGCTGGGTACGGTGGCTAACGCCTGTAATCCCAACACTTTGGGAAGCCAAGGTGGGAGGACTACTAGGTCAGGAGATCGAGACCATCCTGGCTAACATGGTGAAACCCTGCCTGTCTAAAAATACAAAAAAATTAGCAGGATGTAGTGGCACACAGCAGTAGTCCCAGCTACTCAGAAGGCCGAGGCAGGAGAATCACTTGAACCTGGGAAGTGGAGGTTGCAGTGAGCTGAGATCACACTACTGGTCAACAGAGTGAGACTCTGGCTAAAAAAAAAAAAAAAGTTTTACTTTTCTCATTGGTATATGATGATATTGTTCTGCAAATTTGATATTTTTCTAATTTCAATTATGTTCTTATATTTATATTCTGAAATCTCTTTTTCTTTTATGGTTAGAATAAGTATTTACCTATATATGCTGTAATTATTTTATGATCTCATTGTAAAAATTTAACCCCCTTTTTTTTTTTTTTGAGACGGAGTTTCGCTCTTGTTACCCAGGATGGAGTGCAATGGCGCGATCTCGGCTCACTGCAACCTCCGCCTCCTGGGTTCAGGTAATTCTCCTGCCTCAGCCTCCTGAGTAGCTGGGATTACAGGCACGCGCCACCATGCCCAGCTAATTTTTTGTATTTTTAGTAGAGATGGGGTTTCACCATGTTGACCAGGATGGTCTCGATCTCTTGACCTCGTGATCCACCTGCCTTGGCCTCCCAAAGTGCTGGGATTACAGGCTTGAGCCACTGCACCCGGCCTATCATTTTCTTTTATGCTTAGAATAAGTATTTACGTATATAGGCTGTATTTATTTTATGATCTCATTGTAAAAATTTAACCCTTGAATCCTTTTAGAATTTGTTTCACTAATGGGGACTCAAGTAGGAAGTTAACTTTGTTTCTTCCCCAAATAGTTCACCACTTGTTCTAATACCATTTATTGAATAATTGCTCTCCACAGGTCTCAAAGACCATGTTTATTTTATAACAGACTTCTACATATATTTATACTTTCTGGTTTTCTAATTTTTCTTTTTTGCCTTATCCACCTACCTTTGGAACTTTCTGGGTTTTTAAATTTGGATCTCTGTGTTTGTCTTTTTATTTTTAAAGACAGGGTTTCACTGTGTCACTCAGGCTGGAGTACAGTGGGACTATCATGGCTTGATGCAGGCTTGAATGCCCTGGGCTCCAGCGATTCTCCCATCTCAGCCTCCCACGTAGCTGAGATTACAGGAACACACCACCATGCCCACCTAATTTTTGTATTTTTTTTTTTTTTTTTTTGGACACAGTGTTTTGTTCTTGTTGCCCAGGCTGGAGTGCAATGGCACGATCTTAGCTCACGGCTCACCACAATCTCTACTTCATGGGTTCAAGAGATTCTCCTGCCTCAGCCTCCTGAGTAGCTGAGACTACAGGCATGCGCCACCACACCTGGCTAATTTTGTTTCTAGTAGAGACGAATTTCTCCATTTGGTCAGACTGGTCTCAAACTCCCAACCTCAGGTGGTCTGCCCCACTCAGTCTCCCAAAGTGTTGGGATTACAGGTGTGAGCAACAGCGCCAGGCCTTAATTTTTGTATTTTTGGTAGCAATGGGATTTCACCATGTTGCCAGGCTGGTCTTGAACTCTTGATCTCAAGTGATCTGCCTGCCTCAGCCTCCCAAATTGCTGAGATTACAAGAGTGAGCCATCGTGCCCTCCCTATCTTTCTATTCTTTTTATTTTTTTGAGACAGAGTTTTGCTCTTGTTGACCAGGCTGGAGTCCAACGGCATTATCTCAGGTCAGTCACCACAATCTCCACCTCCCAGGTTCAAGCAATTCTCCTGCCTCAGACTCCCGAGTAGCTAGGATTACAAGCATGCACCATGACGTCTGCCTAATTTTGTATTTTTAGTAGAGACAAGGATTCTGTGTATTCATTAGGCTCGAACTCCCCACCTCGGGTAATCTACCCACCTCGGCCTCCCAAAATGCTGGAATGACAGGCATGAGCCACCTCTCCCACCCCCTATCCATCTATTCTTATATGAGCCACATACTACTTCAAGTAGCATCACTTCATAATTAATTTTAGGAATCTTACAGAAGAAATGCTTTCATTCCCATTGATAAAGACAAAATTACAACATATTTAGTTTAAAGAACTTAAATGACTTTTTTTTTTTTTTTTTTTTTTTTTAGACAGAGTCTCACAGTATTACCCAAGCTGGAGTGCAGGGGCACAACCTTGGCTCACTGCAACCTCTGCCTCCCGGGCTCAAGCGATTCTCCCAACTCAACCTCCTGAGTAGCTGGGATAACAGGTACATGCCACCATGCCTCACTAATTTTTTTGTATTTTAGTAGAGAACAAGTTTCACCATGTTGCCCAGGGTGGTTTCAAACTCCTGAGCTTAGGCAAATCCACCAGCCTAGGCCTCCCAAAGTGCTAGGATTATAGGCATGGGCCACCACGCCTGGCCCTTGATTGACTTTTACTTACAGTCTAGAATCTGGCAACACCTCATTCCATAAAATAGATGGAGTGGTCTAAAGAGCTGACCAGAGAACTTTGCCTTTATAGACAGAAAAGGGCCAGAGAAAGCAGAAACACAGAACAGAAACTGAATTGGTCTTTTCGAGGTGACTTTGCTTATAAACGTTAAAGCAGAAGGGACTTTCTTATCATGTCAGCTAAAATTGGCCTGTTGGGCATTTGGCTATTACCTCTCAGTCTCTCCTGATTTCTTAGAAGGTTGAATAAGCAACTTAGTTCTGGCTTAGTAGCAGAGAACTTCAGCATGGGCAACTGCGTTTTGGTTTTGTCTATTCAGCCTGGTGCAGGAGCTCAGTCCAAACCAATGGCCTCCTATACATTTCATTGAACACCATCTTCCCTTTCAAAAGTTCCCAGAAATTAACATATTAAGGTTTTTTTTTTAGCTCATCTCAGAAAGATGACAAGGTCAACTAGATACTTTTCCTTGTTCTACAATTTCAGCCTAGATTAACTGGTTTGTCCATGGAGCCATCAAAGATGCCTTTATGATCTGGGAAACGAACTTCCTAGCCTCACCGTCTGTGTTCACAGCGTGGCCCCAACCTATTTTTCCACTCATATCTCCAACGAATCCAGTTAACTACAATAAACCTTCAGCTATATATGTTTGTTGCTTCTCTTCTCTATCTTTGTTAACATTTCATTCTTTTCATGAAACTCCTCATTCTGTCCTTTAACTCTTACATATTCTGCAAAGAGGCTAAAGATTGCCTTATCTATAAAGGTCTCCTGAACTTCCTCTGCAGTGAATCAGCCCACATGTCATTACTGCCCTATGCCTGTTGACTCCTGTTTGCCTCTTTCTGTAGTTCATGCTAGTGACTTGTGCGGGTCTTGTTCCCTAAGTCACCCGCGGTTAGGAGCTCCACCTCATAACCTCTCACCAGAGCCCAGCAGAGGTCCTGGTACACAGCACTCAGTAAAGGATTATCCTCTGAATTAATTCATTCTTCACCCTGACCTTTCTTCACATTACAGAACGTTCTCCTGGGAAGACTTGTGATCTTTGCCACCTTTGTGACTTTATGCAATGCATCATGCTATTTAATACCCAATAAGATAGTTCCAGGAGAGTCAACCAAGGGTAAGTCTTGACTTTTCAAGATTTATTATGTTATTGCAGCCTGGTGGGTGGACCTGTCTTAGATGAAAACCTTTGTGTTTGTTGTTGTTGATTGTTTGTTTGAGACAGTCTCACCCTGTCTCCCAGGCTAGAGTCAGTGGTGAGATCTCGGTTCACTGCAACCTCCTCCTCCCGGGTTCCAGTGATTCTCCCACCTCAGCCTCTGAAGTAGCTGGGACTGCAGGTGCCTGCCACCATGCCGAGCTAATTTTTGTATTTTTGGTAAAGACAGGGCTTCGTCATGATGGCCAGGCTGATTTTGAACTCCTGACCTCGGGTGATACGCTTGGCTTGGCTTCCCAAACTGTTGAAATTATGGACGTGGGTCACTGTACCTGGCCTCACTTTAGGAGGCTTCTAAGACTACAGCAGCCTGGGCCCTGCACCCAGGGATAGATGCCATTGTTCTAGGGTAGGGCTGAGACATATAAGGTGTTTTTCAAGTACCCAAGATGTTTCACATGTGCACCCAGGGTTGAAAACCACGGATGCAAAGCAAAGGGAAGTGCAGAAGTGAGATATTGATCGAGAGAGAATCCAGCAGGAAAAACCTCGGTCCCAAGAACCCCTGGGCTCCTATGGCTAACTCATTCAAGAAAAGGGCCTTATTTTTTTCTTGAAATACCTGTTCTGAAATAAAAGTCAGAAGGATGTAAGCTTTCTGTAAGAAAACGTTATCAGTAGCGTGAACTGAACCGTACTGGAATTAGCCATGGGTGAATCCAAGAGCACCATTCTTCGATATCTTTAAAAGCAATGAGCTTCTCCCTTTCTGGGAAGGGTACAGATAGCAGGGGCTGAACTCAGTGTCCTGATAGGCCTTATTCTCATTGTATGACTTGCACTGATGATATCGTGTGTATGGTTTTAGAATGCACGGATCTCAAAGGAAACAAACACCCAATAAACTCGAGGTGGCGGACTGACAACTGTGAGAAATGTGGTTGTGGAGAAAAACTAACCTCATGTTGCTCTCTGTAAGTCTGATCAGAATCTGTTGGGGAAGGGCTAGGAATCTGAATTTTAACAGGTGCCTTGAGAGTCTTATGAGGACACTGTGAGTAGAGAAGCAAGCACTTGAAATCAGAACACCTGAGTCCTACTGAAATTGAAGTGTCTGGAGAGTTCCAGCCACATTTATTGAGCAGGACCCATGCTAGGTGCCTAATGGAACAAGAGAAATATTGGACTGGGAGTTGGCTAGCTGCTCAGAGCAGACTCCCACGCACCACATTGGTCAGGCCACTGGGTTTTATAGCTAAGTCTTGATTTTCTGGCTCCATAGATTTGACATTGTCTTTATAGCAAGCGTTGATGTCACTCTGGTGGAGTGTGATTGTATCCCAGCCAGGTGAAATACTGGTGACTGGCCCCTCCCTAACCTAGGAGCACGGCTCCCTGGTGGCTAAAGCCTCCATGTCACCCAGATTTGGCATCCCTGACCTCTTCTAGGATTTTCCACTGTAGGCTTGGATTCTTGTGGACCTGGTGCGGAAAAGGGCCAGGCTGCTCCTTGCAGGGAAGAGGGAGGACCCTTGATATTGGAGTCAGAGTAACTTGAGTCTGAATCTCCATTCCCTTGTATACTAGCTGTGTGAGCCTGAGTAAGTTTCTGAATGTCTCTGAGCCTCTGTTTTCTCACAATATAATCAGGGATAATCAGGTGGCTCTGAGAATTAAACGAGATTCTGCATATACATTGTTTAACCCAACAAACACTTAAAGCCTTCTCTGTGCCAATTCTGTGTCCTGTGAGCCTGGGGCAGTAACTGACACCTGGTCAGGTTTCAAGGTGCCCTTTCCTTTCTCCTGACATGTTGCGTATTTCACTTAGCACACCGCTCCACAAGGGGGAAATGAACCACTCCTTCTTCCCTGGAATTGCCTCACTTCCTACCAAGTTTGTTTTTCTCATGAACTTTTATCTCCTCCACGGAAAAATATAGACTTTGATAAAGTTTTTTCTGGAAGAAGTTTTTGGACCCACTGCATCCTCTACAGGACACTGCCCAGATCTCAAGGTGCTCGGTGGCAGTGGAGCCTGAGGCTGGGGGCCCAGGCAGAGGCTCCCCGGCAGGGCGTGGGAGATGTCCTGGCCTCCACGCCGCCCGGGCCCAGCCCAGGGTTGGCTCCCTGACTTGGGTGAGGAAAAGGGAGTGGGACACAAAAGGCCAAGGCCACCCGACCGCTGGCTCTGGATAGCTGAACAGCTGATGTTGACAGTTTCTCCTCCCCCTCTCTCTGCTGCTTCACCTACAGAGCTAAGTCTGGTTTGAACTGAAATAAGCATCCAGTAATATGCCCTTTGCCTTACCGACTTGTACTTGCACACAGGCAACAGAGATTCACCATTTCATTTCCTACCATGAATAAAAGAATTGTATCTCTTTGGCCAGCCATGGTGGCTCACACCTGTAATCCCAGCACTTTGGGTGGCTGAGCTGGGTGTATGTCCTGAGGTCAGGGTTCCAAACCTGCATGACCAACATGGAGAAACCACATCTCTACTAAAAATATAAAATTAGCCAGGCATGGTGGCACATAACTATAAACCCAGCTATTCAGGAGGCTGAAGCAGGAGAATTACTTGAACCCAGAAGGTGGAGACTGCAGTGAGCCCAGATTGCACCATTGCACTTCAGCCTGGGCAGCAAGAGTGAAACTCTGTCTCAAAAAATAATAATAATAATAAATCAAAGAAAATGAAAGAATTGTATCTCTTCAACAAACACCACTTTATTTTTAACTTTTATTAATTGTGGTAAAATGTATACTACATAAAATGTGCCAGTTTAACCATTTTAAAATGTATAATTCAGTGGCATTAAATACATTCACAGTATTAAGCAACCATAAACCCTATTTGCAAAACTTTTTAATGACTCCAACCTGAAACTATATCCAGTAAACAATAACTTAGAGTCCCCCTTTCCCAAAACCCCTGGTAACCTTAAATCTACTTTCTATCTCTATGAATTTGCCTAGTCTAGGTATTTCATATAAATAGAATCACACCGTGTTTGTCTTTTTGTGTCTGGCTTATTTCACTCAGCATGTTATCGAGGTTCATTTATGTCGTAGAATCTATCCGTACTCCATTCCTGTTTCTGCCGGAATAATATTCCATGGCATGGCTAGACCACATTTTGCTTATCCATTTATTTGTTGATGAACACTTGAGTTGCTTCCACCTGTTGGCTAAAGTAAGTAATGTTGTTCTGAACATTGTCAATATACAAACATTGGCATATAACGTTGAGTCTCTGCTTTGAATTCTTTTGGGATATGCCTAGGAGTAGCTTGCTGGGTCACATGGTAATTTTTTGTTGACCTTATTGAGGAGCTGCCAAGCTGTTTTCCACAGCAGCAGCACCATTTTGCATTCCTACCAGCCAACAGTCACCTTTAAACATGCAAGGATTTAAATATTTTCCCCAATTTTCTAAGTAAAATATATGAATTATAGAACCATTAGAAATTATAAGAGAAAAAAGAAGAAAAACTCACAATCCTGACTGCTTAAAGGTAATAACTGATAACATTCTATCATATTTATTTATTTGTATTAAAGAATTGAGATAGGGTCTCACTATCTTGCCCAGGCTGGTCTCAAACTCCTGGGCTCAAGCTGTCCTCTCACCTCAGCCTCCTGAGTAGCTCGGATTACATGCATGTGCCACCACGCCGGGCCTCTATCATAATTTCTTTATGTCTCTTTTCTACATTTCTTTTCTTGCACATAGTGAATATCAAATTTTATATCACAATTCTGTGGGCTGATTTTTCCACTTAGTGTTCTAGCATTGGGCTGGGCATGGTGGCTCATGCCTGTAATACTAGCACTTTGGGAGGCTAAGGAGGGGGTGAATCATTTGAAGTCAGGAGTTCAAGACCAGCCTGGCCAACATGGTGAGACCTGCATCTCAACTAAAAATATAAAAATTACCTGGGCATAGTGCAATGCGCCTGTAATCCCAGCTACTCAGGAGGCTGAAACAGGAGATTCGCTTAAACTTGGGAGACAGAGGCTGCAGTGAGCTGGAATCGCATAAATAAATATTCTAGAAGTAGTACCATCTCATCTCATCAGAACTCTTCAAAACATTTGCATGTATTGCAGCTCAATTAAAGGTGGTCTCTGATTTTTTATCAGCTTCTCCCGGGGCTCCATGACACTGGCCTGGAGTGACTCTTTCATTGAGAGAGCTCCTGTGCTAATAAGCCTCCAAGCCAGGGCTGGGACAACTGTTCCCTTTCCACATTCTAGCAACACTATGTTGGTCACTTCCTGAACAGGAAGGGTGGGAGGAGCCGGCCTGGAACAAGCTGCCTAGCTCCAGAGTTGCCAGACTTGCCCGTGCCTGTCAGCACCTACTGCTGACCTGTGCCTGCATGATGGAATGTAGGGGTGGGCTGTGTGACTCTATGGTACAGACTGGTCCATATTGTTGGAGGCCACACTCTGGGGCTGCTAGCCAAAGGGTGCCCTTAAGTTGGTGAAGGCACTCCAGCTAGCTGGAGCATGGGTGGCTTCCTGAACAGAGCTGGCACTGGGGGCAGGGGGTTGCTGTGGGTCCTTTCTCTTCTAACAGGCTCTGGTTTTGTCTCAATGACAGTGTTGCTATACCTGTGAGTTATGACACACAGAAGTGCCAGACAGTCTTTAAGAAGGAGGAATGCAAGTATACTGTGGTGGAGAAGAAGGACCCAAATAGGCCCTGTGATGTCAGTGCATGGATATTGTAATGTGCTTCTAGCAGGCACAGGGCTCCAGGCCAGGCCTCATTCTCCTCTGGCCTCTAATAGTCTATATTGGTGTAGCCCTGCCTATCAGTAAAAGATTTTTGAGCAAACACTTGAACATGTGTATACTTTTAATTTGTAACTTACATAGGCATTAATTTAATACACATTATAAAGCATACAAAACATTTAAAAAGGGAGACAAAAATACATATGAATAAATGTTCTATTTTTCCTAAACTCTGTAACAGGTCATTGTGCGTCCCTTACTCGGGGGACCACTGCCACTCTTGCTGTTTGTGATGTCTGCACTCTGCTGCCCATGTCATGCTGGCTGGTAAGCATTAAAAAAAAATGTGTGTCTTCAAGCTGAAATTAGATCCCTTCTTTTCTTTAAGCTGTTCCTGTTTATCCCTCCTTCCTCTTCATCAGGAAGTGTCTTCTATGATGTGTCCCCCAACATTCCTCTGTGTTTGCCTGAGGTGAAAGCAGGTTAGAACAAGACAGCCTGAACAAGTGCCCCCAAGGCCACATGCAGCCCGAGGGGAATTCAAGGCCAGGGGCTCTACCTTGCTGATGGAGAGTGGCCTGGGAGCAAGGCCTCAGCATCAGTTTATCTCCTGCTATACACAGAGCACCCAAAACTTAATGGCTTAAAACAATGTCAGTGTCGATTCTCTTTTGACTGTTTCTGTGATAGAGAACATTTGTTCACTCTACAGGTCTGTACTGAGCACCTGGGCCAGGCAGTGCTCTGGACCTGGGGATACAGCAGTGAACCAGAGAGATCTCAGGAGAGAACCCTGCTCTCCTGGGGCTTGGAGTCAGCTGTGTGTACGTGACAGATCAGAAATGGGCAAACAGTCATCTGTTGAACAGTCAGTGGGCAACTGATAAACAGCTTTATTTTCCCCTGTCCCCCATCTGTTTAAACATGCTATGTGGGCCAGTTGAGCAATCTAGACAGGTCCCTTAGCTTTTTTGGTCAGCTTCAGATAATTTAAAAGGGTGGTCTGAGTTACATTTTGAGTTATATGAAGTCTCCTTCCAGGGGCTGCATCTGAACTGAGAGGGAATGGGGGACAGGAGAGTTAAGGGCTCCTTCTGCCTGAGGTCATGTTCTAGGCTGACTTCCTCTGGGACTCTTGCGGGCCAATCTCTCCACAGCTCCCCTTCCACTCACAGCCTATGATTGTTGTCTTAGTTTCTGCATCAGAAACTCCTCTCCTGTTGTTTTGTAATGAGGTTGCCTTGCCCCTTGTAGGAGTCCCTCTTGGGTGGGATCCATAAAACCCTGCTACGATCTTCTCCTTTGCTGGGGAATGTGGGGAAGCAGTTGCCAACCGTGTATGGAGGACCTCTGTTGAAACTGAGACAGAAAGAAGTACTATTTTAACATCTGGTCACAAGTAAATAATGTGGGTTGTATTTTGGGCTCTAGGCTGGACGTGGTGACTCATGCTTGTAATCTCACATGAGGTGAGAGGATCGCTTGTGCCCAGTTTGAGAGCAGTCTGGGCAACATAGCAAGACCCTGTCTCCATAAATTTTGTTGTTGTTGTTTGAGACAGAGTCTCACTTTGTCACCAGGTGCCAGGCTGGAGTGCAGTGGCGTAATCTCGGCTCACTGCAACCTCCGCTTCCCAGGTTCAAGCGATTCCCTTGCCTCAGCCACCTGAGTAGCTGGGACTACAGGCGCGTGCCACCACCCCAGCTAATTTTTTGTATTTTTAGTAGAGTCGGGTTTCACCATGTTACCCAGGATATTCTAGCTCTCCTGATCTCGTGATCCACTCGCCTCGGACTCCCAAAGTGCTGGGATTACAGGCGTGAGCACCCACAGTGGGCATATTTACTCAATCTTTAGAAAAAAAATGTGGCAAATGTGTAATCATGCATAATATGGCCTTTTGCATCTTAATGATATTCGCTTTTGTATCTATACGTTGAAGCTAAATAATCTCTACTTTGTGAGGACATCTGAATCACTTGGGATGGTCCTCTGCACAGAATTTGCCTTAAAAAAAAAAAAAGTTCGCTTCATTTAATTTGATTTATTCACGGAGGGCGAAAGGACACTGTGCGAGGGCGGGAGGGAGTGTGCCCCTGAGCTCTGCACCTTCTACAGGGCAGTCAAGGGCTTCGGGGGGACCAAAGCGGAGATCTCGCCAGACTGTCAGGCTGATGGCGTCGGCCGCCGCCTCCAGCCGGAATGCTCCTTTTGACAACTGCTAAAACCAAGGGACATTGAAAGTCACTAACAAAGCTCATCAAAAGAGTGGCAGTGAGCTAACGGTATGGTGGCTCACCCTGTAATCCCAGCACTTTGGGAGGCTGAGGTGGAGTGATTGCTTGAGGCCAGGAGCTGGAGATCAGTCTGTACAACATAGCAAGACCCCCATCTCTACTAAAATTAAATAAATCAGGTGTGGTGGACCGCGCCTATAGTCCCTGCTACTCAGGTGGCCACCTGCACCCCAGCTTGGGTGACAGGGCAAAACGCTGTCTCTTTTTTTCTTTTTTTTGAGACGGAGTTTCGCTCTTGTTACCCAGGCTGGAGTGCAATGGCACGATCTTGGCTCACCGCAACCTCCGCCTCCTGGGTTCAGGCAATTCTCCTGCCTCAGCCTCCTGAGTAGCTGGGATTACAGGCACACGCCACCATGCCCAGCTAATTTTTTGTATTTTTAGTAGAGACGGGGTTTCACCATGTTGACCAGGATGGTCTTGATCTCCTGACCTCGTGATCCACCCACGTCGGCCTCCCAAAGTGCTGGGATTACAGGCGTGAGCCACTGCGCCCGGCCCACCCTGTCTCTTTTTAAAAGTCTTCTTTGGTTGTCAGTCTACAAACATCACAGAGCATGGGTTAGATAACCAGCCACCACTCTTATTCAAAAATCCTGTCCGTTTAGGACTCTGGAATTACAGCTCTGAGGGAGCTTCCTGGGCCCCCAACTTGAAGAATCTCACTAAAGGATACCCACATACTGGCCTGTCTCCCACCCCAACAAGAATCGCCTCCCTAGTGCCTGAGCAATCCCTCCATGTGGCGGAAACGGATCTCCCCTCTGCATGGAGCTGAGCGGCCCTGCCAGAAAGCCCAGGGACGGGAACGCCGCGTCTGGGCCGCGAGCCGGGTCCGCCCCTCTCCCCAGCGGCCGGGAGCTGCCAGGCTGGCATTCTCCGGGGCTATGAGGGGCCTGTGCTCCTAAGAGGGCGGGCAACCCGGCGGCCCGGGTGCAGGGGCAGTCGCGGCCCCGTCCTCCCGCGCAGGCCGAGCGTCACCCCTGCCGCCCTCGCGTCCCCGGGCCCGCCTCTCACGCCCGCGTCGGCCGCCAGCGACCAGCTCTGGCTGCTCCTGCGGATCTCCTCCACCGACCACGGCCGCTCCCACACGGGCTCGGACGCCGGCGCCCGCTCCTGCTCGGGGGTCATTCGGTTCATCTGCAGCGAAAAACACCAGGAGAGAGGCTGAGCCTGAGGGCAGCAGGGACGGCGGCCCCCGCCCAGGCCGTTCCCTGTCCTGCCCGGCCCGCCACCCTCACCATCCCAGCCTCCCTAGGGTGGTTTTGAACTCCTGACCTCAAGTTTTTCTACCCGCCTCAGCCTCCAATTTGGCTATTTTTTATTTTGTAGAGATAAATTCTTACTATGTTGACAAGCAATCCCTCTACCTGGCTCTCCCAAAGTGCTGGGATTACAGGTATGTAATGTATTTTTTATCCATATGTCTTTGTCAAAATTGCGATAAAGAGAAACATACGGGCAGTGGTATGCATTTGAAGAAAAATGAGAGAAAGCATATTTACTTAGGATGTTGTGGGAACTGAGGGACAGGAGAGACCCATGGACCAAACAGGAGGATTTTACTAAGGTGGTCACCGGCTCAGCGGATTAGCATCCCAGGGCTGAGCCCTGAACATAGACAGGGCTTGACTTTTCTGCAGGTGACCGAAGGGTGTTAGGCATTCAGTGGCCCCAAACTTGCAAGGCAGGAAAGGAGCTTACAGAGGCAGGACAAAGGCAATTTATTAAGTGGTGACCACTGTTGTAACTTAGGCAAGACTTAATGACCTTCGGTATACATTACCGGTGGGAAAACAGGAACTTACTTAACTTTTACTGCAAATAGTTACTCCATAGAAAAAGAACAGGCCTGGGAAATAGAGGGTACTTATTAAACTTGTTCTTATCTCTGTTCTGGGGGAGACTCTGGGGCCCGTACTTTGAAATCTCTGGTTCTTAAAGCTGTATTAAATCACTAGGAATCTATTGGAATTTCTTGGTGCAAAGGTGGGGGAGGGGTCTGAACACATTGTCAAGGGAGGAGGAAGGGGAAGGAGAAGGCTGTGGGATCCCCTGCAGAAAGGCCCCATGCTGGTGGCAGCCCCCACCTGCTGCTCCAGGGCTCAAAGGTGCTTAGATCTCTTCACCTGAGTGCAGTTGCTGCCGGCCCTTTGGGCAGGTGTGTGAGGGAGGCAGCCCCAGCTGTAAAGAGAGCACTGGCTTTTGGATCAATCGGCCTATTATATAACTGAATTGGGGTCTGCTTGCCCAGTGCAGTTAAGTTCAGATATCCACACCGAGGTTGCAGCACTAGAAAGGAAGGTGTTTATTCACAGAAGCAAGTGGGACCAGGTGTAGCAGGAGCGGTGGCGGTGGCGGGAAAGGATCTCTCGGATACCGAATACAGGAGGAAGGAATCTATTTCAGCTGGTAGCTTGGTGGCAGAGTTGCCTAACAGCCAAGCTCATCTAACAAAGGGAGGTTCAGCCTTTATATAGGCTTATACTTTAGATGTTACCTGTGGAAGAATCTTAGGTTCATAGTTTTTAGGACTCACATGTGAAAAGGTTTCTGTTTACAGTTTCAGGAATCACATATGAAAGAGTTCCGGTTTATAGTTTTAGGACTCACATGTGAAAGGTTTCTGGTTTGATCTTGTTTTAAGTAAAAATATTGCCTTCTCCACAGGCCTTCTGGAGACTTTCTCCAGGGCCTAGCTTGTTGTTTTCAGGAAGGAGATTCAGGAGGTGCCAGCTGGCCTGCTCTCTCTCTTCTGTTGAGATGCACAGTGGATGACAGTGGGAAGGGAATTCCAAATGGCCTGGGTCTCCTTCCTCACAGGCAGCTCATGCTCAAATTCTGACCTCCCTGATGGCTGGCAAGTGTGAACCCTGAAAATTTGAGACAGATGTCAGTTAATTTAGAAAGTTTATTTTGCCAAGGTTGAGGAAATTCGTCCGTGACACACCCTCAGGAGGTTCTGAAGAAGTGCCCAAGGTGGTCAGAGGACAGCTTGGTTTTATGCATTTTAGGGAGACATGAGCCATCAATCAACACCTGTAAAATGAACAGTGGTTAGGTCTGGAAAGGCGAGACAACTTGAAGTGCGCACAGGGGGCTTCCAGATCACAGATAGGTAAGAGACAAACGGTTGTATTCTTTTGAGTTTCTGATTAGCCTTCTTTCCAAAGGAGGCAATCGGATCAGCCTTTATCTCTGGGAACAGAAGGATGACTTACATAGAATGGGGGGAAGGTTAGCCCTAAGCAGTTCCCTATTTGAATTTTCCCTTTAGCTTAGTGATTTGGGTGGGTGGGTCGGAGGAGAAGACAGTTTTATTTCACACAGGTAAGGGTTTTTAAAGACAGGGGTAAATTTTCAGGAAAGCAGAAGTCAGACAAAACTGTAAATCAGTACATGGAGGGTACACATAGGTTTGGCTCAAAAAGGCAAGATATCTTGAAGCAGGGGCTTACAGGTCACAGGTGAATTCAGAGATTCTTTGATTTTTAGTTGATTCAGGAGGCGATGCCTTGTCTAAAAATTTGGGATTAGCAGAAAAGAGTATTTTAGCTCATGGGTGTGACTTCCAGGTCCCTGTAGAAGAAATTTAAAACATAGGAAGATGGTCAGAATGCAGCCCTCAGCTCCCCCTATCTGAGGTCTGCAGGCCAGCAAATCTTTTTGGTGGGTCCAGGTGAGGGTCCAGGTTTCTGACTGACAAACTCAACGATGTGTGTTAAGGTGTTTCTAAAGGGAAAGCAAACATCTCTGGACTCTAATTTCCTTGGCTATTGTTTTGGGCTAATACCTTCCTGCCTAAAAAGTTACTTATTTTCTTCTCAGGGGAGCTGAGTATCTGGAATTTCCGAGGAAGGAACTCCAGATTTTCCTTTGTTTCCATCCTTGGTGGTGGAGCTGGGGGCGGTGGCGCAGGCTCCTAAAAGGTGGTGCCTGCTTCATAACAGGCCTGGGTTAAATTCTTGTTCTTTTTTTTTTTTTTTTCTTTCAGACAGAGTTTCGCTCTTGTCACCCAGGCTGGAGTGCAAAGGCGCGATCTCAGCTCACCGCAACCTTCGTCTCCTGGGTTCAGGCAATTCTCCTGCCTCAGCCTCCTGAGTACCTGGTACTATAGGTGTGTGCCACCGTGCCCAGCTAATTTTTGTGTTTTTAGTACAGACAGGGTTTCACAATGTTGACCAGGAAGGTCTCAATCTCTTGACCTCATGATCCACCTGCCTCAGCCTCCCAAAGTGCTGGGATTATAGGCGTGAGCCACCGCGCCCCACCTAAATTCTTGTTCTTTCTCACCATCTGAAAACCTTGAATACATGTCTCCATCTAAAGCTTCAATGCCCCACTGGTAAAGTTGGAGTGAGATGGCCTGTTTGTTGTGTTGCCGAGAAATCACTGAGGTAATGCATGTGTGGACATGACAGGTTCAGGCTCCCTTCTCACCTCTCAGCCCTCCACCCTGGGGTGGTTCTGGAAGGCGCTGCTCATGGTGAGGACAGAAGGCTACTAGCTGGCGTTGTTCTCTCTGATTCAGCGGCTGCATTTACTTGGCGTGTGCTCCGTGAGGAGAATGAGGGCCTGCGGTGCTGGTGTACATCAGTTCAGACACACTGGTGGGTACATGGCTGCATGTTAGCTCTCCTGGCCCCTCCAGACCTCAACATCATGCAGAAACAGAAGGGGTAGAACCTGGCACAGCAGGGTCCCCCAGACTGACTACTGGCAGTGAGGAGGAGACCCTTAATCCTCTTGAGACTTCTGCATTGCATCTCAAAGGAGAAGCTAGAAGTCAGCCAGAAGGGGGACTGGTTGGTGCCGCCAGCCAGGGTAAAAATAAGACCCCTACTGGTTACCACAATCTCTCCTATATCGAAGATATCATATGGAGGAATCTTTCTAGAAGCTATTGTTTTTACCTGAACAAGATCAAAGTCCCACCTAAGCCACATACCCCACGCCTACTCCATGAACCAAGACCTTTTCACATGTAATTTCTAAAGCTATAAACCCAAGACCCTTTCATGTGTAATTTCCAGAGCTGTAAGCCTATATAAAGGCAGGGCTTCTCTTTGTTAGATGAGCTTGGCTACTAGACAGCTATGCTGCCTTCTTCCCGGCTGAATAAATCACCCCTTCCTTCCTAGTTCAGTGCTTGAGAAGTCTGTTTCTTATGGCTGCTCCTGCATTAGCAGCTGAACTGAAGGGTCAGTGATTGAGACTTACTGGCTGTTCAATATTTTGAATACCACTTCCAGAAAGAAAAAACAAGCTCCTTGTCACCAGAGCCTTCTTGGGACTGTGTTACATTCAACACAAGACAAGCCTCAGCTTCACATAAGGGAACGGTCTCAGGGACAACCCATTGAAAGTGTGGGAGCAGGTGATTTCTGGTTCTGTGCACAGTTGCTCTAAGCTGTAGATGAGGAAGGAGACCCTTAATCCTCTTAAGCTTCTAAGAGCCCTTCCCTGTAGACTTCTACATTGCATTTCAGTAGGAGAAATAAAGGCTGGCAGACCGGGCACCACCCTTAATCGCACTCCTGTAGATTACAGGCATGGTATGGAGATATCTTTCTGGAAGGCATTGTTTTTGCTTAAACACCATCAAACCCCTACCTAGTCACATACCCCATGTCTACTTTGTCGATCAAGACCCTTTCACATGTAATTTCTAGAATTATAAGACTTTTCTTCGTTGAGGAGCTCATTTGTTAAGGTATTTTCACCTGCTGCAGCTCCCAGCCGGATAAATCACCACTTCCTTCCCTGTTGGGTGTTTGAGAGGTTTGTTTGTGGCTGCTCCTGCTTCATAAACACATGATCCTTGACAAAATACCCTTGAATCCACTTGACAGACAAGAAGTTTCCAGACCTCCAAGGGGATGCTCGAGTCTTCCTTTTCTCTGGGACAAAACTTGGTTTTGATTTCTTAGGTTTCTCAGTGACTAATCCTAAACGTGTTTGCTTTGGCTTCCTTTCTTTGTTCCAGTGTTTTCTCTGCTGTTTTCACACCTCTCTGGATAAGCCTTCCACGTTCCTTATAGAAAATAAGAAAGATTATTTACCAGCAGTCTTCCTGGTCCAGGGCTTGTCAGGCTCAATGCATTCCAGTGCACTCCTGTGACACCTTACCCAGAGTAGCTGTGGCTAGCAGCATTTACAGTGTTTGTTCTCACCGTTCTATTGGTGGCTTCCTTTTCCAAGTCAGTTCTTTGCCTGGGTATCCAGGATCTCTATCCCACTTCCACCCTC